TTCAAGTTTTCAATTGACATGTTTGGTGAAATAGTAAATTAGCATGGCAAGACTACTAAATGCCTCTGTGGATTCTTCCGTGAAAGGTAAATGGTTGTTTCAATTTGCATGCTGTCTTTGAACTGTGCTTGTGTTTGACATTGAGATTTGTTTGTGGTATTTAGCACAAAGGAATATTGGGGAAAAAATTTGAATTTTTGGCAAGTAATTGGTAGGTACCATCACAGAGTGTTTTTTGTAGGGTATATACATAACTGAAAATGCAAAAAACATATTGCCTAAGTGTATTTACAAAACACAAACAAATAAGGCTTGTTTTCCCTTAAGATGCATTTCATTGTAAACGGATATAAATAAATCAGATTTACAGTAATCGGATAATTACAGCGAAACTTTGGGAAATGCAAATTTTGTAGGCCTATATGTAGAATTACTTATTTTCTACATTAAGATTTGTCGATAGATTGTACTTTGTTGCTGATGTTGTGTTTATAGAACTTTACAGAGCTAGAGCCCACTTTCCTGTTTAAGAAGAATTATCAGTCCTTATTTACAACATTCTGATAATTCTGTATTTTAGTTTGTACCTTGGAGATCTGGAAAACATGAGCTTTTAGACACGAAGTAAGGTGGAGTTGTGGAAAATATGGTTCATACGTCTGTTAGTTAAAATGCAGTAGTGTGGGACCTTTAAATTAGTTCCACGTAAATTGTTTCCCAGTTTGTCTCAGTATTGTTCTGTTACCAGGATTACATACAGTAATATGACCACCATGTTTGCGTTGTGTTAGTGTAGTTGAGGCTTTATAAGCATTAAGGGGGATTGCTGTGCTGTAGGATGTGTAGCCTTTACCATTGACTCCTTTCAGTGTTAAATAAGATTTTACCACTCTTCAGATTCAAGATAAGAATATGCTGTTCTTCAACAGAAATCATAAGCCACCAACATCCTCCTCCTCCACCCAAAGAAAGAAAATTAGTGCTGACTTGTTTTTTTTATTTCCATAACCTCTTACTTCCTTTTGATAGTAAGGCTGTTTCCTGCAAATGATGACAGCTTAAAGGTATTTTTATCAGGGCAATGGTCTTCAAATAGATGTTGGGGATTTAAATGGATAGAGAATGAATTCTGTTTTTGTGTAGGGCCAAGTAAGTGAAGGGTCAGTGAGGAAATAATTCTTGCATCTTTATTTGTTCTTGATGTGTCACTAATTCTGTGACTTATAGTGTTCTTGTTGAGTCACGGAATCTAGTGTATGCTCTTGTATTTTAATAAAAGTTGAAGTTAAATAACTTCATACTTGTGTGTGTGTGTATGCAGTATATACATATTACTGTATTATTATTTTATCTGACTAAATTAATTTTAGGCTACCTTTGCTCAAACAAATCTATCACACATACTGTGTCACCTTTGGTGTGATGCTCTTTAATGTCCATCTATACTGAAACAAGATTTCAAGTGACTACTATGGGCTTCACAGCTTCACCATTTTTGATCATTTAGTGTAATTTAAAAAATTTCTACAACTAATTTTAGTACGTCACCTTGCATCATATACTGTTCACTTTCAGCTTTGAATGCTTAGTATCTGGATAATACTTTTATATTGTTGAGTAATCCTGAGACTGGAACCCACAGTCTTCCTGTTCCAAGTATACAGCCCCCAACCACTATTTTTTTTCTGCTGCTCCACAAGTAATGATTGAGGAAAAAATAATTTTGACTAACGTACATCTACTAACCCTTTTGCTTGTGCGATTTCTTTATAGAAAGATGTCCTGATTGTGCCATGATTCTTTGTGAGCACAGTTACAATTGTGGATTGCTGTTGATATGGTGCTGTTTAATTTATTTTTGAGGTTAAGGCCTTGAGTTGCAGTGGAGTTCACTTCTGATCAAATGCTGAATGCTGTGATGCATCTGATAACCCTGCTTTGCAAAACAACTGTAATAACCTTGTCTGAAGAGACAAGCAAATGTGTAAAATAAGGAGCAAAATGCTTATTGTTCAACATCTGTTCAGTCATGATGATGTAGTCCGATCCGGATGTTTTCTTTCATATTTCACCAGTAGTACACTATTCGTTTTGAGGAACTACCTATTTCTTGTTTACTAACTAGACTAACAACTAACAACCAAGGAAAACAATATCAATATACAAGTTTATATCCCTCTGTATATACTTGCATAGTGTGCCCTTTACAACAGTTTTTTTTAATTCCAATGTATTTATTTTCTTGTCAAGAAAGTATCTTAGCAACATTATGTCATAAAGAATCTTTTCAAATTGAAAGAAATATATGAGCCTGGAAATGGGACAAGAAAATGTGGGCTTAATAATATTTTTAACTGTTTTAGTGTCATTAAAAAGATGTCCTGGAAAATAAAAAAAAAACATTATAATTTCCATTGGTTATTTTTACCAAAAAATAAACTTAAGAGCTTTTCGGTTCCAGCTAAAGGAGAGAAAACATTTCAAAGTGGTGAATGAAATATAGGTTTATAGATTTAATTCATTATTTGAAGTTTTTCATGTCATATTTTTATAATGATATAAGTGGTTAAGTGTTAAGGGGCAGAGTTTGTGGGATTTGTAATAACTGGTTTGCATTAACAGAATTCCAGACCATAAACATCAGTATTTAACTTGCCAGTAACCTTTTACCTACTTGGCCTAATAGGTAAGACATTATGTACCCGCCTACCTCTTTTACATCAAGAATCTCTGTTAACTCTGTTGCATATTACTGTATTATGTCACATACATAGGAAAATACCAAAGGATACTTCAACAGATTAGAATGTGTGTGTGTGGCATTCAGTTACTCACTGTGTTAATGTAGGTTTTTCGTGCATCTATTTGCTAAGATTTGTGTTGTTAGGATCCGATTATTAAAAATATCTGAAGTTGTGCTTTCGTTATTTTTTTTAAAAAAAGCTTTTTGTTTTAAAACGCACATGGGGGGAAAAAAAACTACTAACATTAGTGTCCATATTTCACAAGTCCACGAGTCTTCATTTATTATTTTTTGTAATCTGTTTAAATTGTATTTCCAAGTTAAACAATGTATGCAGTATTTATCAAACAGTTGTGCAAGATGTCCACCTTTGGGCCAGCCTTTCTGTTTCTGTGGTCTTGCCTTTATCTGAGTAAAGATATCTTTCAAGGCTCTTGCGTTTGGACAGCATCTATGTTGTGGAGATAAGAAATGTTTTTTTTTCATTTCCAATTGGCCTTTATGTTTATTTTAAAGAAATGCACAGATTTCTATATGGAGAGGCAATTTAATGACGTCTGAAAAAAGCAAGAATGGAGAAAAGCTGAGAGAGTAGGCACAAAATCTGGAAAAGTGAATTATGCATTGAGATTTTCACAGCGGTGATATTTTTAATTCAAAACAAGAATCTGAATAATGTTTTGGGGTATGTTTAAACTATAATATTTGTATTTGTTATTAATATTATTTACTATAATTCCAATATTTTTGGTAGTTAGTCCAATGATAATGCAACTGTTCTTAACAAAACAATAAAGTGTCTCTGGATTGTTTTTTTTTATAAGATAAAAACAATTCTTTGTTTTCAATCTGTTCCTTTCAGAAACTTTAAAACATAAAATATTACTTGTAATGGTTGCACCTTGTACCAAAGTCCACTTCTGGAAAATCAGAAGACGACTTAAAAAAGTGTGACATTGGATATCTTTACAATAATGTACCTTTTCAGATTATAAATCCTGCAAAAGAAACTTTTCTGTCATTGCAAGTACTATAGTATTGAATAGAAAAATGTAAGAGTTTTAATTTGATGCCAGTTCATGTTACTGTGGTCAGGTCTTCATTTTTGGAGTAGGTTAAGCTTGATCGCCAAGGTAACTGTATAAAGGTCAAAATTCTTGGTTTTATGTTGTAATTTAAAAGATGAGGTAAACACAACAGCCTAGCTAGGGATTGCCTGGCAACGCAGAAACTAGACTATATATTGTAGTCATTGTTGCATCACTGGCTTTTAAACTATGCCAAAGGTAAATTTTATGCCAAGGAAAATATTTCCTCACATAGCATTTCTACATGTGATGATGTAAAGAAAATGAAAGTTGGCTAATTCATACGTATTCATATGTTGCAAAGACAGCACTAACTGAAGTAATTTCACAGCTTACTGAAGTACCTGCAAAATACATCAGTTTTTCTTTGTCTGAACTCTAGCCTATATCTAAAATAGAATTATGAGGAAATTAAATGTATGAGACTGAAAAACAAAGTTAACTCATCAGATCTTACTGGCATACATGTGAACTAACAACAGAGCACATTTTGTGTATATGGAATATTTTGTTACCTTAGTTGGTGAAAATGTATTGTAACGCTTCGGGGTTCACGTGGGCGCCCTCGCCTCTGCCGCCTCAGGTCGGCCCCCCCGTCGGGGACTCGAACCCGGACCTCCGGTGTCACTCAACAGGAACCCAGCCACTTGAGCCAAAGGGAAATCTCCCGTCAGCCCGGCGGCTGCGGTCCCTGTTGAGTGACGCCGGAGGCCCGGGTTCGAGTCCCCGACAGTGGGGGGGCCGACCTGAGGCGGCAGAGGCGAGGGCGCCCACGTGAACCCCGAAGCGTTACAGTATTTAGCAATTTGCTTTAAACTCGTCCGTGATTATAGGTTGACCCTTCACATCAAGTTATTTAAAAAAAAAATCCATATCTTTACACAGACAGGTTTTATTGGCCGTAAAGCAAATCTTGTGATTCGTGCTTCAGTGATGGCTCTGTTTTCAATTAGCATGCCTTGTGCGCTTCTGAAGTCCCAACGCTTTCCGCATAGACAAGCCCTCTCATTTTTTTTCATACCCGACTTGGAGAACTTCATTTTAAACGTGTCTTTCTTGTTTCTTATCAGCTTATGTAATAAAAAAAAAATACCACGACGCAATAAGTTGTTAAAAATGATAGTGTTCCAGAACACTTTGCAAGGGGGGTGTGTGTGTGTGTGGTTTTGAGCTTTCAGAGAGGGGCTGACTCACAGCTGCACTCTTGTCTACCACTTCTCTGAGTCATGGAATGACGGCGATGGGGACTGTATCATTTCCTTCCAAGGCCGTACATATGATTGGGTAACAGGTTGTGACAGAGAAGAGGCAAAAGTCAAAAGGGTCGCCTTGAAGGAAAACGGACTTCAAAGATTGAGGAGCACTTACTCTGTCGATACCGGAGATATAATGTTTAGAATCTGCGTAGTGGGGCTGACTATTTAATCTTCTCAAAGCAGAAACTTCTGCTGTAAAACCTTGATCCTTGCGGGAGTCACGAGGTGAGGTTTCCTGTTGAATTGTTCTTAAAAGTTTTTGCGCTGCATGACAATACTTGTTGAAAAATAGTTGAAATGATGATAAGAATTCTTAAGTCGTTGAAGTTAGCTGTTGGAGGAGAGGGGCTGGGACGGGAGGTTTAGTCCTTTAAAAAGTCTGAATAGTTCCTAACAAGGTAACAAGGGAGTGTAGTGAGGCACAGAATGTATCCAATTTGTATAATGTATCCCAAACCTTAGTACATAAGTACAATTTTTCTGAACAGTTGTATGTGATCTTCTGAATTCTGTTTAAGTAAAGATTTTCTTGACTTATTTTGTACGGATTTAATGACTTAAATGTCAATTTATTAAGTCCACCACTGGTAAAAACGTATTAGCCAAGCCATAAACCAAAGGAATATTCCTTTCCAGGAGTGACTTAGTATTTGTTCAATTTTTCAGTAATGAAAAGGCACGTACTTGAAATAATCTGGAAGGGACATTTTGTACCAAAATGATGGAAATTCTATGGTTTTTGCTGACTCTCGGTACTAAACCTCAGATTGCAAGTTTTCTTTCAGACCTTTCTTTTAATAGCCACGCTAGGACTCGGAACGTTTGTAATTGTAAAATATATAGGAAATAAAACAACTACAGGGTTTGTTCAACTTTACCTTTAATGCAAACCTATTAGGGTCATTTTAAATTAATAGAGAAAAAAGTTAACTGTGTAGAAAACTACTTTTACTTAGTCTAAGCCTCTTTTGCCTTTTCTGCCTTATTGAGAAGGAGGATATCCGATTGATGTATAATACTTTTAAAAGATAAACTGTCTTCTCAGCTCATTATTGGTAATGAAAATGTTCATTTCAGTTTGTTTTGGATATCATTATGAAGTTTCAATCATCTTATTGAAAGAGGTCAGGTTAGTAAGGTGTATGTTTACTTCAATAACAGTTTTCAGTGTAGTATACAGTACTTTCCAGTTTTCTCACCCGAGAAGACCTGTATCCACCTACTGAGTCCACACACAGTATGTGAGGGTGAAATTTTTTCCATTGTAGTGCAATGTTTACGTTTGATTTCCATAGATACTAGACTTGGCGCAAAGCAAACGGTTTGCTAAAGGGTGTTTAGAACAATATACAAACACGCATATATAATATAACCATCAATTACCAGAAAGCTGCTTATCCTGTTGAGGGTCATGGCAAAGCCCTAGTTAAATGTTAAGCATAAGTACAAAACAGTACAAAGGACAGCAGTGCTTATCAAAATTGGAAATACAATAATTGGAAAAGTATTAATCTGAGTGTACAAAGTGACTCAGGAATGCCAATAAATCTTTAATCCTGTGTGTTGAGAAACAGTAGTTTGCATGATATAAGGAGTTGAGCAATAACCACAACTGTTTATCTGCCTTCCACTGTCTGATGGTTTAAGGTCTGAGTATTGAGTAAGCCAGAAAAGGCATGTCATACGAGAATTCTGAAAAACATCTGAAAACAGAGAAAATGTCAGGAGGATTCCCATGCGTTCATTGAAAAAAATTCTTATTAATGGCAACAGAACTGAGACCTACAGTAAATACAGACTGATGTCCTGCTTTTTAAGCGAGAGTAGATTATCTGGGTAATTTACCCAGTGCTGGTGTTGGTCTCACTGCGTTGCACAACTTTTCATGTTACTTTTTGTTTGTATGAACTTCTAGATTTCCCCAAATAAAATACAGAGACCACCCAATATTAAGTCAAGGAATGACAAATCGGTCATTTGATAACGGGGTTTTACTAACTGAACTGGCATATTTATCACGTGCAGGAAACACCACAACTTCTTCAGTAAATATTTATAAACAGCCTGTTTTTGTGGATTTTTGAGGTTATGTGTAAGCAGAGAAGCAGCTATTGGGTAACAACCATTTTGTGCTATATATGTGTTTAAAAATGAATTTAGGAGCACTGGTACTTTAATTGTGTTCTTAAATATTGTTGTGCTGTAATATGAACTTTGTTTCAGACCTTATAAACTAAGGTTTTTATTTATAAATACATGAAAGTTGTCATCTTACTGCTTTAGGACTGAGGTGTTTATACTTAAGTATACACAGACTCCAGGAATCATACCGAATATGAATATGAATCTCGTGCACTTTTTCTTTAAGTCCAAATCAGATACTGTCTCTTGGTGATAAACTCATTAATTCGGTGTTGGATTATTGCATTTACAACCAGTAATCAAAAGTGTCACAGTCCATGATGTTCAATCCTGTTATGTACTGGAGTGCTGTAAAGAGCTGAAATTACATTACTGGGTTGTTTTTCTTGTTTCAGGCTTATGTCAGTCCATAAAGGGATAAGAACCTCAATTTGAAGAATTTGCTGGTGAAATTTCTGTAAGTACTGAATTGGTTTAGTAAATCATTTTATTTTTTAAAGATTCTTTTGCTGAATAAAAAAGTTAAACATTGGAATTGGAGACCAGGGACAAGGATTAAAAAAAAAAAGTTAAATAGATCACTGAAAATTGACCCCCGTCCTCTACAGTATTTCAGTATTTTTAAAATACTATTTCGTGTGCCTTCAACTTCGTTCTTTTGCCTCACTGAACCCTTCTGTGAGTACATCAGATATGCAAGATTAGTGATCAAAGATAAAAATGTAGATAGGAAGTGACTTTGCTCTGCTTGTTTATCATGCTGTTCACAGAGTTGTCACGAATAATCGCTTGTAATTTTATACTTTTAAGTTATCTTGATCACCATGTAGCACTGTCACACATCCCTGACAATTCTTTAGCTTATTTAATTGTAATGTAAACCATGTTTACAAAGGTTCTTTACTCCTCTTTTTAGAAAAGAGCTCCTTTCCTCTAGAGAAACCTGTGATAAATGTACAGGTAACTTTAGTCTGAGTGGGAATCGGCCACATGAAATTTAGTTCAGTTTTCTCTTTTTGCAAATGTTACATTTTTTAGCATTTTGATCCGTCTAAGGGGACAAGCCTCTGTCGACCATAAAAACAGATAAATCAGTACAGTGCTAAATACATTGAAGTGCATGAGATGAAATATTACTGAATGCTGTAATGTTTTAAATGGAAATTGTTTGAGATGCCCATTAATGCAAGGGAATGGTGTATGAATCTAAATTGTAATCTTTTTTTCACTGCTGGGGGGTATTGTGGATTGACATTCTAAAGCTGATCTTTTGCTGCATGTTGGCTGTGTCTTTTTGTTAAGCTTTTTGCTGTGCTTGTGTGCCATTTTTTCAATGCACTCCAAAGTTTTGGGACTATAAAGTCAGAACTGTTATTTTTTTTGCTTTATAGCCAAGCAATGTTTGTGATAATGAGATAATGAATGATAACTACAATATTTTGTTCTGAGATATTTGCGTACATACATTATCACGTACTTCTTAGTATGTTTTTTTTCTAATATGATGAGTATATGTGGTATAACATCCACATGAGATAGTTGGGCTGGACAGCCATCTCTTATTAGTAATATTTCTTATGATTTTATTTATGGTCACTTGAAATAACTAGTTTGAGCAGAATTTATTTTTGATCTAATACCACAATATAGTTATACACAGCATAACCCCAAAATGTACATTACATTATACATAGAATTAATATTCATGTCATTAGCAAATACAACTGGTTGACTGTAATGCAAAAAAAAGTTTTGTTTCTGTACCAATACTTTGGAGGGGACTGTTTAATGCTACTTTTAAATAAAGACTGCATGCTATGATCACTTTGTCTGCGCATTGTTTGAAATCTTTATCAACACAATTATAATTACCAATTAATCCTCCACTGCAACTGTAAGGAACGCTTTGAGGTATAAATCAACATTTTGGAATACTCTGGAAATCCAATTTAAATTAATTACAAGCTCATTTGTTGAAAGGTTATGACATGTATCCAAATATAACATTAATAAATATATTTGTGTGCATCCTCCTTAAAAGGACAACTACAGCGGAAAAAATGCTTGACTTCAGACTTTCATTAAAGAAATTGATGAACATATTTTAAAAGCAGTATTCCAGTAGCGTAGTAGTCCAGTACCTTTCAAAATATCGAACTTAAAATTTAAAAGCTTTTCTCTTTTTTTTGTTTCATAAATAAGTAAAAAGCTTATTTATGAAACAAAACCCAATACAGTATTCACTGTTGCGGGCTGAGCTTTTTTCAGATCTTGTCTGAAACCATTTTGCCCCCTGTACTCTTACCCCCTGGATGCATCTGGTACAATATTTAATTCTTTGTACCTTTTGAGATCTGGAGGCGTAATAAGTTCATTTTGTCCTTAATTTTGGGTGATTTATATCTGTGGAATTTTTTAAATTGTTTTTTACTTATATAGGCGTTATATGTTTTATTTCATGTGGGGTGTAGATCCAGTTTAAAACATTAATGTTTAAGACGAGAGAACAAATCAGAGTGTATTATGTCACTTATCACTGATCAGGCCTACTGCTTAAGCAGTTGTGTGTGGAAGTTATTGGAGGAACTTTGAACAATAAGCCATAGTACATGAAGTGCAACACTTAAAAGCAGCTCTGTGGTTTTGTTTTTTTACAGCAAACTACAAATTATGGCTGGTAGAAGCATAGCCGGTTGTTTTTTTTGTTGTTCTAATCATATGCGAGAAGCAAATGAATCCTTCCAGTTCCTTTAACGTTGTGAATTGACCTCATTTTACCACAATTTTAAAGTGAAATCGCAGACACATGCATGCTCCAACTTCAGCTTTAAAGTGTGCCGCGTATCAAGTTGCAGTTATTATCGTGTAACTAACATTCCTTTTCTCTTTTTTTTTCTTTCCATCTGCTCTCCTGAACCCGTCCGACCTGTCTGCTGCTTTTAGACTTAGATCTCCTGATGTTTGGGTTGTACTGAATACATGACATAGACTTCAGTTGCTGCTACAGCTGCTTTCGTTTTTTATTATTTTTTCATCTGCCCTGGCACCACATCTTGCTGCTAACCGCCTCAAAGCCTTGTAGTCTAAACCCTCGCAAAGAGCCATACGTCATTTTTAGCTTTCTCTGTCCTTTTTGGTTTTTAAAACGCTGGTGCTGTTTAACTTACAATCCCGTTGCACAATGAATTTCAGAGCAGAAGTACATTCCATTTTGTTGCTCCCTGTCCATCTGTTTATGTGGCTGTACACACTCCTTACCTTTATCCCATGGTATTTCCTTACTGACACCCGAAAGAAAAAGACTATGGCCAAGCGGATTAAAGCCAAATCCACCACCGGCAAGGCTGAAGGTCCCTATCGTTCGGTGGATCATTTTCAATCTCTGGCCACAATGGACTTTGAGGGGAAGGATACTCTGGACAAGTTGTTTGACCATGCCGTCCAGAGGTTTGGCAAAGCAGACTGCCTGGGAACCAGGGAGGTACTGACGGAAGAAAATGAAACGCAGCCCACCGGGAAAGTATTTAAAAAGGTAAGAGCAGTACGGTTTTCTGCATTTGCACTCTTATCCACGGTCCCCGTGGTTACCCGTGAAAATGTGTTTTTTGTAAAATTGTGAGGGAAACTATTCCCAATTTTTTAAAGGTAGGAACAGAAGAATCTGATGATAGCCTCTTCCCGAGTTGCTGCCTGAAATTCTGCTGCAACTTCAATGCTAGATGCAGTTGCCGCCTTCAAATTATTTGTTTAAATTATAGCTGTTATGCCAGTAGTGCCAGAAGGCGGGCGTTACTGTGGGTGTTAACTTAAATATAAACAAATCTATACACCCTTCATGAGACTACAGTTACGAACTAAAGTTAAAAACTCAACTTGTACCACTTGAAAGGTAGGTACTATGGTAAACATTCTTCACTGCCTTTGTTTGGGGTAATTTAATTATCTATTGAAGCTCTTGTCCCCAAAATATCAGATACAGTAAACACCTCAAAAGTGTTTTTGGACGTCCCTTCCTGTAGAATTGCAGTAATGTCAACGGCTGTGGTCATGATTTTCATTGAACCTGTGGGAAGATACTCTATAAGAAATGTGAGCATGTAAATGATATTATAAACCTCCCTGAGGTGGTGGTTTAAAGATTTCCTAAGACCTGTAACATTGAGTGTGTCCAGGAAAAACCCGTGTGAGAAAAGATGTTTAACAAAGATTTTTTTTTTCTAGTTAATTCTTGGAGAATACAAATGGCTCACTTATGAAGACGTAAACCGTCAAGTCACTCTTTTTGGCAGTGGGATAGCAGCTTTGGGACAGCAACCAAAGAATACCATAGCCATTTTCTGTGAGACCAGGGCCGAGTGGATGATTGCAGCACAGGCCTGCTTTAGGCGCAATTTCCCAGGTAAGAGGTGCATTTCTCTGCCACAGAAAATCAAGAGATCTATAAGTGCCACTATTGAGAAGAGGCATTTTATATTTTCCTCTTGACCCTGTGTATAATTGTGCAAGACCATTCTTGTTTTCTAATGAAGTTTTGTACAGTTTAACTGGTATCTCCTTTAGTATTTGTCCATAGTTGTACACAGTACAAATAGAGCAATACTCTTCAGTTTCTATCTCAATATTTGATTAATCTAATTTCTTTCCTGTGGGTTTCTGTGCAATACATTTAGCTGGAACAACTGTCGATAACTAGAAACACAGGCAAGTTTAAAGTTGAGGAGCTGATGTTAATGCATTTTGCATACACAGTGTTATTTAGAACTGTCTTTGGCTGCTTTTGTATATTTTTGTTAAAGAACGGGATTTTGAAATTCTGTGTTAATCTTCTTTTTATAGTGGTTACCCTGTACGCCACTTTGGGAGAGGATGCTGTGGCCTATGGCCTGAATGAATCTGGTGTCACTCATCTTATTACTAGTGTTGAACTTCTTGAAACTAAACTTAAGGTGAGTCCGTCTAAATGTGTGTATTCGGTTTTAGTTAGTATGTCCCTCACACATGTCTTCATTAGAAATAAACATGAAAAGAATCCTGTGGTATTTATAATTAATTTTTCAAATGTACCAAAAGTGGACCAGGAATCAGTTTTAGAACAGGTAGGGTTTAGAGCACATTCACAAACTTATGATGTAGAAATTGCAGAAAGTTGTTTAATTGCCTTCAGCTTCAGTTTCAGGTCTTGGAACCAATGGTGGGGTCTTCTCATTCAGCTGCCTTTTGTGCCTGTGTCTTGATATTTAATTTGGTAGTGCACACAAATGGCAGGATTGAGTTACAAAACAAAAGTATAATGCAAAGAAAGAAATGTCACAGTTAACAGAAATTAGTATTTGTTGTTGAAGGCCATGTGATAAGTCAAAATGTAAAAGGAAGAACAAGCTTGAATTAAACATTAGATGAATTTGCAGTGCTTTATTAAACTGCTACATTTTTGTAGGGGTTGCTCTTAATTATGTGACTTAAGAAAGGCATGTTTTTGATAGTGTTTCTGAGATGTGAAAACTCTAGAAATAAGTTTTAATTGGTTTCTCAAAAGCTTTGAATATGTTTGAATTTTAAGAAAATAATTTTATAATCATACCCCTTGCTGATCTCTCCAAACAGAAGGTTCTGTCAGAAATTAAGAACCTAAAACACATTATTTGTGTGGATAAGAAGAATGCAAGCAAAACTGGATACCCAGAAGGGCTGCATATTCATAGCATGGAGTCAGTTCAGGAGCTGGGAGGCAAGCCCGAGAACTGTGAGTTCAAGTATTGAATTTTAAGAAGGGTGGTTGGTCTCGGCATTGAGCTGTTAACTTGGAGCTGAAATCTCAAAACATAATAAAATATCTCAAGTAATGTGTACAGTTATTTTTTTCCTTTGCATAACTTTTCCTGCCATTATGTGAAACGTCTCTCTGGTTTGAAAAACTGATGGCAAAGGGTGTGATCTTTCACAACATACTGTAACTGGCTAGCTTTTTACAGATTAACAACACATTCTGGACTCCTATCTTCTTTGTTACTGAACTCAAATTACACATGCAGTACTTGGTTCTGGGCTTGAACCTGCATTGAAGTAGTTAAATGAAACAAACTGAGCTTTCATTGTGTTTCCGTGGCAGTCTAAAGAATGTGAGAAAACGCCCAACAGTTGTCGTCAGTCCCCTTCCAGCCTGTTTTAGTTCCAGTTCTAGTCATTAGTTTAGTTATTACTTACAATAGTTTGGTTGTGTTAAACCATTTTGTTACTAAGCATTTGAAAATGTAAATTGGACAGGTTAGGCATATGCGGGTTAACTGGTTTGATTTTATAACTGTTCTGTAACATTTTCTCTCCATAGTGAGCGTGACCCCATGTCACCCTCAGCCCACAGACCTTGCTGTGGTCATGTACACTAGTGGTTCCACTGGACGCCCCAAAGGAGTCATGATCATTCACAGCAACCTGATTGCAGGCATGACAGGACAGTGTGAGAGAATACCAGGACTGGGGTAAGAGCACATGACTTAAGGAAAGGTCAAAAAACAGACACATGATGTATAAGAACATGTGTTGTGCTCGTTATAGTTTATTTGTATGTTAGTCTGCTCCAAACACTTGACTACTGTTGAAATCACACTAACAATAGCTCTTGGCTATCTTGATTAGTTCTTAGAAGAGGTGCTTATACTCTTACACTATGATGTATTTGTCTTTTTGGTGAACACTTAATTACAGTCAAGTCAGAGCAAACAGTGCCAGATCGTTCAGGGCCAATGTGGATTGTTTGCACTTGTTCTTTTCGATTGTACAAGAGGTAACCCATGGATACATACGACCACAATAGTTTGAAACCAGGATCTATGGACCTTTCCTGAAAAAAGTAATGTGACTCTTAAAAATAGAGAGCTTTGGATTTGAAAGGGCTAAAAAAAAGAATGAAAGTTTTTATTGAACCAGAGAAGTTGTGGCATCCGTGGAGAGTGGTTGATTTCTAATCCAGGACATTTTACTGGAATTATCTGAGTGAAGTATCTTGATCAAAGGGACCACAGCAGTGTCCCACCTGCTACACACAGCCATCCAAAGCCTAGAGCACTAACATCCTGTCCATACTGCTGCCTTTCCAAAGATTGCTTTGTAAGATGCCTACAATTTCCCATACATTATATAAAAATATGTTTTTCTTGTTTCATTTCACAGCCCAAAAGACACTTATATTGGCTACTTGCCTCTTGCACATGTTCTGGAAATGACAGCTGAGATTTCCTGTGTCACATATGGCTGCAGGATAGGTTACTCTTCTCCGCAAACACTGTCTGATCAGGTAAAAGGATGTTTATTTCTTATCCAAAGTTTATTCTTTTTATTCATTATTAAATGTTGGATTCCTTTGGAGCTTTGAACAAATAGCCACACACAGCGAGGAATAAACAAGAGGACATAAAAGTTGGAAATGAGAGGGGACCAGTTGGACCATCTTATTCGGTTATTCGTAGCTGATTAATTATTGACTTCAACACCATGGATGGATAGCAAGTTCCAGATTCCCACAACCCTTTGTGTTAATATAGTACCCCTTGTTCTGATTGTAAATGCAATCCCACGTGTGTCCTCTGGTTTCTGTTTCAGAGGAACTAAAAAAGACTAAAAGACTAAAAAAGTTCATTTTTTTTAGTCGATCAGAGGAGGATCATTCCTTTAAGCCCAGGAATGTATCTGGTCCCTCGTGTCTGGATTGATTCCAAACCAGCAATATCTTTTTTTGAGGTGAAATGAGGTGAAAAAAGTGCATTGTACAGTTTTAACACCGTATCCCTTGATTTAAAATCTACACTTTTAACTACGTATTGTAACTACATACTGTTTACATTTTATAGTTTCCCCACAATTCACAGGGCACAAAACTGGTGTCAACAGATGCCATTTTCATCAATATGGTAGCTTCTTCAAGCTCAGTGTTATTGGTCTATAATTACTTGGTTCAGTTTAGTGTCTTTTATGGGTTACTGGTGAATGACGGAATGATGGCAAATGTAAATCCCGGAAGCATCATAAGAAATATGGACATTTTAAGTTTGACTCTGCTCATTTTTAAGGTGGAGCCCATTAAGGGAAAACGGCTTCTATGGAATATTTATGACCTAACTGTGAACAAAACTGTTGGTGACCAGAACGTTCCTTCAGTTAGTTCTGTGAACGCGTTTCCACTAATGGCAGGATCTACAGCACACATTAAAACTTAATAATAATGCATTTGGCATGGATCTCCAACATAATTTCACAGATGTCACAGAAATGAATTAAACAGTTCTTGCTTTCTTTCTTTTATCAGATGATTTTTGTTTCTGTAACTACTGTGAATATATCCCGTGTTAGTATAGCACGATGTTTTATTTAAGAGGACTTAAAAGTATGCATTTTTGTAATGGGGAAAGAATTAGTAATGCTTTGATACCAAACAGGAACTCAGGAACCAAATGGAAGAAGATATCTTTTCTTTTTTACCGTAGAAAACATTGTGAAATTTTGTCATTGTGCAGTACTATCTTTGTCCCTGTGAACTTAATCTTCTGGAAAAGGAAGGTCCGTGGTTAACAGATAATTTTTTTTCTGTAAATCACCCCCTGAAGCTTTTTACTTGGTAACAATGACATGCAACCAAAATCGGTTTTTATTTTGACAACGTGATTAACATGGATTTTTCTTTTTTGGTTTGTCCTGCAGTCAACTAAGATCAAGAAGGGTAGTAAGGGAGACTGCAGTGTGCTGAAGCCAACGTTGATGGCCGCTGTTCCGGTAGGGATACAGGTTTCCTGTATGCAGTTCTTTGGAAGTTTTTCTTCCAACGTAGGATGTTTAAAGGGGAATTGCAACTCTTTTTATATTTTGGGGTTAATAAGAATCAACATTGAGGAGTGCATTTCAAACCACAATAAAAGTAAAGTGTACAAAGTAACTTGTAAAACCTCCAATTTACTTCACTAAATAGACCAAGCTTCCAGGTACGTTCAACACCATATTCTGAGATTGAATGAAGTGGCCCTTTTACATTGTGAACAAGCAGGCTTGTGAATACATCTCTTTTAATCCAATACAGTGACTAGAGAGCAGGAACGGCCGCTTCACGTCACAATTCGTGGGAACTCTCGCTCTCGCGAGATCAGGGGTTTGTGACGGCATGGTGACTTACCGTGCTTTCACAAAGTTCACAATTTTGTGTTTAAGTCGAAATTTGTAGAATTTTTCTTTACGGTCATTGAATTTATTTTATAACCAAACTTTAATAGCTGGTCTGAGAATTTGGGACTGCGTTTCCCCTTTAACACCTGTCAAGTTTTGTAACTGTACTCCCTCTCTGTCTTGCTCTGTTTTCCTGTTCTTGAGACCACACAATAAGCAAATACTGTATGTTTCATTTTTTCCCCCTAATTGTCCAACAAGGATACGAATGTGAGCTACAAAAAACTCTATATAAAGCACTATAGGATATGCTCCAGATGAATTCATTTCAGTTCTGGGTTCTTATAGCATATTTATAGTTTAAAATGTGAATTCCTGTATGACTGTGATATGATTGAAAATGATTATCTAGTCTCTAGACGAAGATGAATGAATAAGGTCTGATGTATATGTTTAAAAAAACTCAACCCAATTCTAAACACTATTGGATATCAGTTATTAACTAGGAGTTAAATTTATGTAGCATGGGAATACAGTTACCTACATCCAAATATGTTGTAATATAAGTAGGATTAAAATGTTACAAGTTACAAACACAAGAACACCATTTTGCTCATCTAGCTCTTTTGGCAGTTAGTGGGTAATGAATTCTGCTGTTTTTGAAAGAGGTCAGGGTATCATCTTTCACAATAAGACTGGGTAACTTATTCCACACACACACACCACCCTTTTTGGAAAAGACATGCCTCCTCTTCTCCATTTTAAATGCACTTCTACATCGTTTTTATTTGTCATATTTCATGTTTGAGTTCTTTATGTAGATGCCTGCAGAATTAACTATGACAATGTCTTTGTGGATTTTCAATACTTGTCAGGTCCTTTCTTTAAATATCCTGATGAGGAAACCTGATACAAGTATTTAAAATAAATCCTGATTACAATAGATAAAAAAGATTCAGTTTTTCCTCCTGTCTGTATAGAGTATTCCTTTTAGCCCCAGAAAGTATCTGTGTGCTTTTCTCTGGACTGATTCCAGAGCAGTTTTATCTTTCCTATAACCTTGTAGGCCAAATGATATACAATTTCTAAAAAAATAACAACTAATTTCATTTAAGGAAAGATCCAGAATGAACAGGTTACTCACTAATTTTGTAGAAATCTTGAAATATTCAATAAGGGCTTAGCCTTGTGATCTATAGATCCTTGCAAAAGTACCCCCTTCTAATACTTAAAACTCAAAACTTGCTCATACTGAAATTGAACACATTTACGGGTGAAAGATGTTAAATGTCAGCAAAAACTGCAATACTGTTTCAGTCTTCTGAAGATCAAAAACCAGAATCTCAATGCTCAAGGCCAGACTACACTGGAGTGGCTTAACAATAAGAAAGTGAATATCCTTGAGTGGCAGAGTCAACGTTCTGACTTGACACCACTAGAAAGTTTACTGCAAGGCTATCAGTGATCCCCAAATAACTAAAGCTGACGTTTGCAAAGAAGAATGGGTGAAAAGTTAGCAGACCCACAGCTGTAATTGCTGCTAAAGGTCTTTTCACCAAGTATTGACTCAGGGGGGTGAATGCTTGTGCAATCAGCATATTTTTGCCTTTTAGTTGTTTGGTATTTTGTGCTGACATTTAACCTGCTTCATTCAGAAAAGTGTTCAGTTTGGCCATTCACGTTTTAAGACATGTCTCTATGAAATGCAACATCATCGAAAGGGGTCAAAACTTCTGCAAGGTACTGTAGGGTGGACTAAAGTGCCTCTTACCTTTTCAGTAGGGTTTAATTTAAAACTGCGCCTTGACTCTTCTCTTCCTCTCAAATTGATAACAGCATCCTGCCAAAAGGAAGTCTGGCTTATCAAGGAGAAAAGGTCTCGGGCAAATGTATCACTCATTTCCTCAGTGCACCAAAAAATATTGTAAATGTGATAAAAATGTATAGTGTAATTAGACGTTTTAAGTTTAGATGTACCCTATGTGTTTAAATGGGTATAGAAAGGTAAATAACATTGTGCTTTTTGCACTTGTTTTTTCTACATTGTTCCTTCTTTCTTGTAGGAAATAATGGACCGCATCTATAAGAACGTAATGAGTAAGGTGCAGGAGATGAGCTATGTACAGAGGACGTTCTTTAAACTGGGCTATAACTACAAGCTGGAGCAGATCAAAATGGGATATGATGCACCGCTCTGTAATGTGTAAGTTAATTTTCTTTCGCCAGGAGCAATATTTAGATTCATACCATCAAAAAAATGTAGTGAACTTTTAATGGAGACGGACTCCTTCTCATTTTTTTCCTCAGAATACTAAACAACATCAAAAGAAAAAAGCTGACTTCCATAGAATTTCTAAAGTTATATAGTCTGTTTAATATTCATAATGCAGCTGCCTGAAACACAAATATATTCTTTGTAAACACTAGCTAGGCAACCCCATATCAGTAAGATCACCTCAGAGATGACAAGGTATGCCACTAAGGGACAGAAGACCCACAACTGACAGGCCTTCACACAGTTAGATGTTGAACAGCTTAAATGAAACTTCATAGAATTGTTATGAGTGGGTTAGGCCTAGGACAAAAGGACTTTCCATGTCTGGCTCATTACTTTAGGATAGGATATGACTGAATACAAAAAAACAAAAATTAAACATATTAATTCTGGTCCATTTATCCATCCATTTTCTAACTGCTTTAACCAATTGAGAGTCATGGGGGAAGTCGGAAGTTGGCAAGCAACGGGCGCAAGGCAGAATACACCCTGGATGGGATGCCAGTCCGTTGCAGGACACGCACACAGACACACGTACACCTGGGACAGTTAACCTAGCAGTATGTCTTTGTACTGTGGGAGGAGACCAGAGCACCTGGAGGAAATTCGTACAAACACAGGGAGAACAAACAAACGCCATGCAAATAACACTGGGAATTGATGCCAGACCCCCAGGGCTGTGAGACCGCAATGCAAATCACTGGACCACCATGCTGCCCCTTCAGTTCTAGTATCCATGCTTTACTCGGGAATGGAACACTTTCCTTATGAATGATAGATATAGTTAATATAAATCTGAGTTATATGAATGTGTTTGCACATGGATAATTACATCTGCCAATTGATATCCTTGGGAGTATAGGATGTGCTTACCTTTCTGTTTTCTTTTGGTATAGGCTGCTGTTTAAGAAAGTGAAGGCTCTGCTGGGAGGCAGTGTGCGAATGATGCTTTGTGGCGGGGCTCCCCTCTCCTCCGCGACCCAGAGATTTATGAATATCTGCTTTTGCTGTCCTGTGGGTCAAGGATACGGGTTGACAGAGACATGTGGAGCTGGCACAATCACAGAAGGTACGTGAAAACACTTACCTCCCTGCAAAAGGGATGTTTAACTGTTATTTCCCCAATTTAAAATCATAACTATCCTGTTAGATGACAAACAAAAAAAATAAATACAAATGGCTGAATTTATCTACCTTACTGCAAAGGATGAGTACCCCGCTGTTTCTTTCAATAAGAACGCAGTGGGACAATAAGTTGGCAATGACAGCTCAGCTGAACCATCTTTGTGTTGATGGGAATATTTTTGTAGCTGCAACATGAACAGCTGACTAGTTGCATTATAACTACTGTGATATACCTGGGGAGCAGGGTGCTGTAACAAAATCTTTAATTAGGCTGACCCCAGGGGAACAGGGACAGGAACACAGCTGTAAAGGTAATTGCGCTCTTATTTTTATTGTGAGGTGCATATTAAACAAAAACCACAGAAACAAAAAACCTCTTTGAGCTCCTTGTAGTACTCTTTGAGCTCCTTAGTACTTCAAAATGCTTGGCTAATAAAAGCCAGACAGCAAAGCTGCTTACTGTCTCTAAAATGTGTCTATTCAACAATCATTTCTAGAAAGGCTTCTCTTTCAAAACACTCGGCTGCTCTCAGGACTCTCTAGAAAACTCACATGTCCAGTGAACTCTGAGCTGGCCTTTCTCTCGGTCACTGTTCTCTCAGTTCCTTCTTCCACTGGTGTCACGCACTACAGTGGATCTGCCTCATTTACCCACTGGTGTCACGCACTACAGTGGATCTGCCCTCTGTCTCAAGACAGACATGGTGAACCCTGGAAGCCTACAGTGTCTAGTCTTTCAGTCATCACTTGACCAATTGTTTTTCACCAAATGGTCAGGAGAAGGTGGTAGGACATAGAATGTAGCTCAGATGAGAGACGATCCTGCCATCCTGCAACATTTCTTACCATCTAATGTCCTCGCATCTAAATTGTACTGCTATCTTTATCTAAAATCTGCTATCACCTTGTGCTCCATAACTGAAATCTACCAAATTGCGCTGACAACAGCCTAAACATTAGTAAAATGAAGGTTCCTTTTTAACAGCATGTCCATATAATACATTTGTGATTCATTTTACTATGCCTCTTAAGTTATGCATGAAAAGCATAACAGAATTTGCCAATTTGCTTCACCACTGGCACTACAAATTGCTACAGGCCTGTCAATCTAATTTAAAAGCGTGCACTCAAGAGTAGGATAAACTGTCACTGCAGAGATGAGACACTCCCTGTTTTTGTTTTTAGTGTTGCAGCACTTTTTATAGTAGGTGGACACTGTAAAAATGTTGCTGACAAGTTACCACTTGTCTGTGAGTGTTTGGAAGCTAAACTAGGATTTCCTGAATTGTCGCACAATAGTCCACTCTTAAGGGGGTTGGGACACTCTGTGGCATTTACTGGCTGCTGAAGAAACATCTCAATTAAGTAAGTTTGTTGTTTTGGCTTTAATTTTCCATGTAATTTTATATTAGGTCAAAGCTAGAAATTCTTGATACATAGTACCCCCCTTTACAAACACAATAAACAGTATTAAACATATGGGATATTACTGCAAGTAGATATAACCAGCCTCTTTCAATGACTTGACATGGATATTTACCAGTATTCTTCCTTATTTATTAGCACAGGCTTACTCAGCTAAGGATGGTGGGCTTCTTGTGTACTGGGTTGGTTTAGTAAACAGCTCTTTCTCAGTTTCAAGATGTCAGTGATGGGTAATGATGAGTCCACCTAAAAAAAAAAGTAGCTGGAAATGAGGTGCAAATCCATAAGGACCTTTTACTATGAAACAAAATCTTAAATGGTCATTCTTCTCCTCTACAGTGGCGGATTACAGCACTGGGAGAGTTGGGGCACCTCTCATCTGCTGTGAAATCAAATTACGAGACTGGGCAGAGGGTAAGCATTGCACTTTTAATACTGAAACACTTTACAGAGCCTACTGTTGTCTAATCTGGTAATACATCTCTTACATTGATCTGGAATTCTGAGAAAGGATCATGTAGATAACTATACCTTCTGTGCAATATTGCTGATGTAAAGAAAACTATTCTTGTACTTTTAAAGATTTACTAACCACTGCTTTCTACTGAAATGGAGAAATGGATCACTATCACTATTCACACTATGGTGTGAATGCTGATGGGCCTGAATTCTTTCTCCACAACATCTTTCGTCACTGTTCACTCACACTCAGTATGAGCACTGCTCACTTCAATAAAATGAGTGTTTGAAAACGGACGGCCCACCTTTTAATTCACTTTGTGCTTTCGGTTCCAACTCGGTGCTTTGGCTGCAGTGCTAATCTGCCTGAAAAAACAAACGTGTTTCAGGTGGTTACACGAACCAGGACGTGCCCCACCCCCGGGGAGAGATTCTGATCGGTGGACCCAACGTCACAATGGGCTACTACAAGAATGGCCAAATTAATGAGGACTTTTTTGTGGATGAAAATGGACAGAGATGGTTCTGCACTGGAGACATTGGTGAAATTCACGCTGACGGTTGCCTACAGATTGTTGGTCAGTAATTCGTCAGGTGCTCGTGGTTCACTAGGCTTTGGATTTGGTTGTGGTCTGCAGCTTGTGACTGCTTACTAGCTGGTTTATTTGTAGTCATAAAGACTGTGATGATATATAACAATGCAACGTAAATCCATTAGTATTGTTAGTTGTGTGTAGAATAGCAGGTTGCTTTAAGACACTATTACGACACGACTGATCGTTTAAAAACATACAGTAGTTGCGCAAATGTGAAATAAATGACCTGCAGAAGATAGCTGTTCGTTAAAAGCATGTTTCATTATTGAACAATTAATTAACATTACAAAGATGAGAAGGAACTTATTTCCCTGGAACTACTTTTAAATATGCAGTTAAATAATACTTTTATAGTATTATAGTTTAGGAAATACTTTTAAATATGCAGTTAAAAACGTAACAAAATGGGTGGCACAGTGGGTTAGCATTGCTGCCTCGCAGTGCAGGGGACCTTTTTTAGAGTTCCAGACCAGGGGTGCTATCTTCATGGAGGTTGTGTGTGTGTCCGTGTGTGCCCTGTGATGGACTGGCACCCCGTCCAGTGTGTACCCTGCCTTGTGCCTGTTGCTTGGTGAGACAGGCTTCAACTCCTCTGCAACCCTGAATTGGATAAAGTGGTTAGAAAATGGATGGATGGATAGATGTTCAGCCAAGTACTTAAATATCTTTTTATTTGCCTCGATAAAGCAAGTGTTAAGATAACTGCTTCCAGAAGTTTCTCATCTGCTTTGAATTGCGTAAAACAGCACCATAGTATTGCCTCTTATCACAGTTTTAAACGCTATAAAGCAATTACAAAGTCCATTCGTGCAAATGTTGCTTATTTATTGAAAAAAATGTCCTAAGATGACTAACTTTTTTTTAAAACTTGTGGTCTTGTGTGCAGATCGTAAAAAGGACCTAGTTAAACTCCAAGCAGGAGAGTACGTATCTCTGGGCAAAGTTGAATCCGCTCTGAAGAACTGTTCCTTGATTGACAATATCTGTGCATATGCAAACAGGTATGTAAACACTCTTTTTAATAATGTGTGAACAATGCTGAAATACAGAATAGTCACCTTCATTGTAGAGACTGGGAGAGAGTGGCATGAGTCATTTTTATTTGGAGTTACTTCACTGATTTGCTTTGAATTTCAATCGCATATAGTCAGTCATCTTGGAAAAAACAAGAATGCTCTGATACAGAAAAATTCAAACTCCCCAAACCTTTGAAAAAAGTGCAGTACAAAGTGTAACAATATCCTATATTTGTCTAAATGTTTTTTTAAATGAGGCGATGTCAGTGAAGAAAGGAGTTGTTATACAGTATATTGTAAAGTTCTCATATATAAAGTGCTGTCAGGTTTCATGCATTTCTAATAAAATTAAATTGATTGAATGCAAATTAAACTTAAATTAGGAAATAAGAAAGTGGGACAATTCCTAACAAAATATTAGCTGATACCACACAGTAATACATTTGCCCCATTTTACCATTTTGTGTATGAATGTGCTGGGTGTTAAAATGAAGTGTCGTGTCAATGTTTATTTCATGTCTGTTAACCTACTGGAAATAATATTTTAGTAATGAACACTTTATTAAAAATCCTCCAGAAACACTGATGGCCTGAGACTTTTTCACAATACTTTTAAATGTATCAATATTGTGCTGATGGAGAAAAAGAGCAAGAAACTGTTTTAAGCATGATTTCAGGTTGAATTGTCTATTCACACTTCTAATTGCAATGACGTTTGATTTATTTTCAGTGACCAGAACTATGTAATAAGCTTTGTGGTACCAAACCAGAAGAGGCTGACAGCTTTGGCCAACAAACAAGGCATCAGTGGTGCTTGGGAGGACATCTGCAACCATCCTGCCATGGAGTCTGAGGTTCTGAAGGAGATTAAAGAAGTTGCTACATCAAGTACGTTAGTGAAGTTAACCTGCTTATCGCTGTCTTTAAACTCTTGCACTGTGGGCTTGATCTGGTCAAATGGTCCAGTTAGTCCAGCCCTGAAACTGCAGCACACTCTGCGAGTATTTTAAGAATCGTAATTTGAAGGTTTTTATTTTCACAATTAAAACTATTTTTCTTCTGCTTCTTGCTTTTTGTGACGAGGTGAAAATTGGGGGGGATTTTTTTATGACCAGTGCTGGAAAGCTTAAGATAATTACAGTACTTTTAAGGCATATGTACCTTAAAAGTGACCTCAATGTGACTCAGGTGAATTGGTCAGATTAGGTAATGGAGGCTTTTCGTGTTTTTTCAGATTAAAAAGAAAATGCTCAGTGTTAATGATTCTAAATGTATGATTCTAAATGTATCTTACTTAAATACAGCAAGTTTAGAATTTATTTTATATTGTGATAATTGCATGGGCCATATAGAATTCTTGAAATGTATCCATCAGTTGATTGATCACAGCTAGGCATTCAAGTTTTTCACACTCATTACTGTGTGCCCCTTTTTTCTTGTTATGGAGTGCTTCAGATTCAGAATGAGAAATTCACAACTTTAACATTTAATTTATCAGGTCCCAAAGAAACTATTGGCACGTTTGCCCACAATTAGAACATATGGAGACTCTGAGTCTTCTCAGAAGTAACGGCTAGATTTAGATGAACCTGCTTTGTCTACACTCCTAGCACAAGAAAGATGTTTGTTTAGAAAATCATGTTGTCAAAAAGCAGTCCAAGATCATCAAAAGATGACCTGAAAGGCTGATTCCCAGAATAAGGAATAAACCAGGGTACGAAAATAATTTCTGCCCTGCAATGGACTGGCATCCCGTCTAAGGGTGTATCTGGTCTTGTGCCTGTTGCTTGCTGGGATAGACCCTGGCTCCTTCGCGACCCTGGAAGAAGCCGTTAGAAAATGGATAGATGAAAATAATGGCGAACTCTGCTGTACAAGTAATGTCTTTTGTCCCCATCTTGTTTTCTTCTTCAGTCAAATTACAGCGCTTTGAAATTCCAGTCAAAGTGCGCTTGAGCCCTGAGCCATGGACCCCAGAAACAGGGCTGGTGACAGACGCTTTCAAACTCAAGCGCAAGGAACTGAAGAACCATTACCTCAATGACATCGAGAGAATGTACGGGGGTAAATAGGGCTGTGTTTCACTGGCCCGGGGAACAAGTGAAGAATGTGTGTAAAGTTTGGGTCATCTTTGACTTTTAAAAAAAATACTTATTGATTTACTAATCACATTTGTAAATGTAATTATTTATATGCTCGTCTTTGTTGTAAACACAACCGCTATCTGACAAGTTCGTCCTTTGAAGGGTTACAACAAAATCTTGTTTGTCTGAATAAATCTCACAGTTTTTCATGGAAGATTGTCTTTACGAGGTCTTATAACGTTTTACTTATTCTGCGGTCTTTAAAGATAAAATTGTCTTGTGAGCAAGTTCATGTTGAGAGGGAATCAAAAATACAAAACTGCCATTTGTTTGTATTCATATTTTGTATCTCACGTAGCTGAGCTCTAATGTATATGAACTATGTGTACATTTATAAATATTTTTGTGCCTGTAAAAAGGGAGTAAGTATTATAATGCTTGAATTAAAGATAGATTCATTGCTGATATTTAAATAACCAAAAACGTTAAATGCTTGTGATTGGTGCAATGAAACGTTATTGCTCAGGATGTCTAGAAGAGCCTGTTTATTTTAAGGCACTTTACTGCAAAGGATATCCACTAGAGGGCAGTAATGCTGCATAGTGTGCCTGCTGTAAAAATATTCATCAACAAATACACTCCCAAAGACATTCCACTCAAGATTATTAGAAATGTGTGTACAAATGAAATGTTGAAATGTTGTACAAGTTCTATAAAATGTTGTAGATATTACTGGATAGCCTAAATATTTTTGTGAAATGTAGTAATAGTTCATTTTGCATTAAAATACATAAAATCAATTAATCCACAAATTAGCAAGCACAACACAAAGCATTTATCTTTTCTGAATTCACTATTTTTCCGTTATACAAGTGACATGCCATCTCTCAGTGGATTAGGGGATACTGATGTAGCCGGAAATTTTTTTAACTGAATTCCAGCCAGTGTAGGTAAACTTTTAAATATAACCTCAAACAGAATCATTTCAATGTGAATAAATAGGGCAGTTAAGATAGCTCAGAGTTAGGATATCCCCCATATTTATACGTTTTGAAATGTTTAGATTTCACGTCATTTGAGGTACTGAATGTTACATTTTAGGTGACAAAGTATGCTTTTATTTATGATACATTTTTTCAGACTCCTTGTACTACATAAATAGAAATTAAGACTATTTTAAAGCCTCCAAATATGCACTAGACTCTACAATCGAAATTGTGGAAAATCTACTTATGTTTGCACTTGTCCTCTCACTATTGCCTATGACACTGTATTTTTTTTTGTTTATCATTACTATTTATCGGTTTTTGTACAGCAGGACATTTGTATCTTTATTTCCATTGTTTCTGTACGACACTGTGCATTTCTTGTAACTATGAAAAGCACTATGATTTTGTACAATTCATTCTATGTTAATTTAAAATGTGGTTGCAGGTAGGAATGCCCTGAAGTAGTGACTGCTAAACTAAATAATGGTCAGAAAACAGAACTGCTAACTTGTTAGATCTACAAATATAGAAAAATAGAACTTCCTGCGAGTGCTATCTGAAACGATTTTGCTCTCAAGTGTTTCAATAATTCAGAGAAACAATAGCTAGAGATTCATTCTTACAAATCAGGTAACCTATTCTGTCATACTGTTGTGTTTTGGGTACATTTCATTGTTCAGTGTCTACAAACAGGAAAAAAGTATCGATGGAACTGATGAAACTTGAAACGTTTGACTTAAAGCATTTTCACAAAATGTCATTTTATAGCTGTGGCAAAATGGGGATGTGTAATACCTACCAAATTCAGCATCTTTGGTAATAGTTTAAGAGTTTTTTTAAAGACAATTTGTACAGTAAATGTTAAAATGTGCTCACTGTAATTTGAATCAATGTTCGATGGCTATATTCTTCAGTTTAGTCAATCAGATCTTTGAGAAATGTCATGCAGTGCTTTTGACAAGCTGTTCTTCAGTACACTTTAGGATGTACATCTCTCTAAAACTCTATTGAAAACACTTACGATTTCATGTAGTAAGGTACATTTTGGACCTGAATATAGTAAGTTTTTATATTTTTTTGTTGCAGCATGGTTTGTGTTCCTATTCTGACTCAGACTAACTGAAATTTGTATATAATTCACCTGTGCTTTATTCCTTTCATTTAATGTCTGTTTGATCTGTGAAACTGAGGAGTGTTATTCCTAATCAATCTGTTGGCTGCCTCGTACAAAATAATGTACACCCTGGGAAATAAACTTCTCCATTCACTATTGATTCAAAGAGAAATACTGTATACTGAATAAAAGATCATATTGAAAACTGCATTTACAAGGCTTACTCTGGCCTTTTATTTCAGGCGTTTGCAGCAATAACCTCTTGAAATTAAAACATCTATGAAATTCTTATGGCCTGTAGGTTAATCTTTTAGATTCCAGTTAAGCCTGAATTAGTTATTTATTGTGCGGCTATATCTAAGATGTCACTGGTAGAAGAAACTTTTAAGTTTTTAATTATTATTTTTTTTAATTTACTGGAACAACTATACGTTTTTTTACTGAAACAATCTTACTGGTTACACACCTTGGTTCTGAAAGGCTCAACCGTTTAGATTGAACTTTCTGGGAGAAATGAATCCTACGTAGTTTTTTAACCTCAATGATTATAATAAGAACAAAGCTTATTTAATCATTGGAGACATTAAAGTAGGCATTTAAATTTTTTCATGTTTATCGGTTTCCCTTTGTCCTTTTCACTCCAATTTTAGAGTGGTTACTGCACTTCAGCTCTGTTTTGTGAAGTATCTTAAGTGGCTACGGTCTGTGACACTTTGTGATTTCCTAGGACAGGTCAAAGAATAGCTTCGACCATTACAACCTGAGAAAACTATTTCTTTATTCCAGGTAGAACATCTAGACATCCTTTGATGTTTTTTTTTTTCAAATTAAGTGATATAATGAAAATGGAGAAAATCCAATGAGACACTGCACAGCATCTGTTTCAAGCTGTAGAGAGAATGGGATTTCATTCATTTTAAGGACAACTCATGTGAGACTACATTCTTATATTAGAGATGGTGTTTTCCTTTTGCAATTTGCTTTATGCAGCTTAGTATTTAACCAGACTCATAGAGGGTCTTTACTGAGCAGTACCACTTCACTCCAATCATTCTCTCCTGCTGCTTGAAAGAAAATCTGCTGTCCTTGCTTGCCTTTGCAGACCAAAGTGAAAGGGAATGTGGTTTCATTATTTCCGACAAGTACGAAGGTTATAATAGCAGGATCTCTTCCTAGCAATTCCTGACGTTAACATCACCATCATTTTCAGCCTTGTTTATGAAAGCCTGTTGAACAGCCTGTTTTCTAAACCAGAGGGAAATAGTACATGTAGCCTTAGCAGATTTAGAATTGGGTTTGAGTATGAGCCACTTTTGTTCCAGGCAACATGAATTTTAAGTACAGTATGTGGTTTTAAGATGTAAAAAAAGTAAGATGTTAAAATCCCAGAAGACATTTCCAAAACTGTTTGAACTATTAAATGTGACCATTTTAACATTATGCTGTTGGTTAATTAATATTGTAATTTATTATAAATGTGGGCTTTTATGTGATTCATGTGAATACTTTAATATTCTGAAGGGGATAAGAGTGTGTTAGAATGTTTTGGAAATCCCATGTCAACTGTAAATAAAGTTTTTTAAAAAAAATATATTTGGTGAAGTTTGTTTAAAAAACATCTTCACAGAATAAGGTACGTTTTGGTGATAATCCATGTTTCTTGCATCAATATTAAATCACTAAAAAAAGCAACAGCTGCCTTAAACAAATGTAGCACATTTATTCACAAACCAGCTTATATCCGTATTTTAGCCTCTTTGTGTACTTCTAAAACTTTTCTGAATACTTTAACAAGAATAAAATGCTTTCCATACATAAAGATTAAATTACATAAAAGCTTTAATGAAAAGATGAGTCTTTATCTGAAATGTGAAAATCACCATCAGCTTTGATTAAATGTTGGAGTATACAGACAAATCGAGTAATTTGTAATTGTACCATTCAGTACTTCTGCACTCAGCAGGTTAAGCTTAATGTCTAGATTTCACAGGTACCTAGTGCAACTGAATTTACCATAAATATCTAAAATATATCCAACTTCACAGCGTTTTTGTAATTTAAAATCTCTAGGAAGGACAAGACTACAATTTTTTAAAAAATGACAGACCCTTTATTCACAAGATTCATTGACATTTTCCATTACTAGTTCATGAATACAATATCAATGGAGGCTCTACAGACAGAATCTAGTACAAAATTTTGAATATGCAATTAACCATTTGACAAACAAAATTGCCTGTTCTTTTACCTAAATGAACGCAAGCTTTTGTTTTCCTTTTTGCATGTTTGAGTCATTTACTGAGTTCACAAGCGGTTAAAACTTGGAGACAACACAGAATGTACTACTATAAGCCCATAGTAATAAAAGTCAACAAGTAAATGCCTCTTTCTTTTTCTCTTACAAAAGAAGGTGTTTATTTTCACTAAATTCCAAATACTTACGCTAGTAGAATGTCTTGGGCAGACAGAATGATTTAATATTTAATGGAGATAGCTGGTGATAGTGGGACAACTGCCACAGTCACACTTGTTTTAATTGGTAGAACAGGGATGATGTTATAAAATATACACGCTGAGCTACAAAGGCACCCAAACTAACATTTAAAGGTCATCAAGTGAAAAGGCCATTATTGAAAAAACAGACGTATTTGAGAAATATTTGATGTCTTTAAACAAAACAAAGAATTTAGGAAATTACATTACTTTCCTTTACGTAGCACTAACAGACTTGAAATTTCTTTTCAACTTTGCTGGAAGTCATTTTGCTAAAGACTGCCTGAGATGTCTGGCAGCATCAATCATTTGTACAGAATAAGATCCATGATGCTAACTTTCCCAGTGACAGATCTTTAGCTTGTTACGGTGCTGCCAGGTCCAGGAGCACTTCATTAGACCATATAAAAGTGCAAGTGGACTTTAAATTTCACTCTCTTTCTGGCTTTGTCGACCACCATTGTTACTTAAAATGTTGTTTCATAACACAAAATTAAAGCTTATGTCACCGATCCCCTTACAGAAATCTTAAACGCAAACTTGCATGTCATACTAAAACATTTCCAGTCTTCGTCGGCAGCAGGTATTAATAAATATGAACTATCATTAGCTGGCCCAATCTTGGAATCGGAAACAATCACTTGCTATTTTCCAGACAGGCTGGTCGTTTGTGGGTGATGCTTGTGCGGTAAGCAGGAAGTTCTGATTGAAATAGCGCTGTTTGTTCCCATCAAACTTCACTATGCCCCCAGTAACCACCAGCAACGTCGTCTGTCCTTGAGTAGCTTGCTCTGGTCGGAAAACAAATAGAATGATCAAGAAGCAAGTAGGAGTATGCAATTACAAATGACTATATACAAAATGCTTTAGACCAAAATGAAGTCAAATCTTTTATCAGAAGACATCAGCTACCCGAGTTAAGGTTAAATTCCAATTTTCTATTTCAAGAGGGATAAACAAGGCTAGTGTTTATTATATAAAGTGTTATGAGTGAAAGGTTTCACATCTCCCTCTATGGGTGACAAATGAAAGTTTAATACAACCAAAAATGCCCTTTTCAAGCCAATCAAACGTACCATTCAAATTCTCTAAATAATGGATAACATTTTAGAACAATCCATTTGATTTTGCTGAGAATTAAGTGTGCAAACAAAATTTTTAACCCAGTAAATGTAATTATTTTTGCTTTTAGAATAACTCTCTAGTCTGTTCTAACATCCTGCTAATAGTTATCTAAAAGACTTAAAAAGCAGCAACATTGTCTGTCCTCGAGTAGCTTGCTCTGATAGGCAAGACCTAGTCTTAAGATGTATCTCTGTTTATAAAAACAGTTTAAAAAGGAAATTTCATGCGCAAAAATATTCTAAACTTCACCAGACTGACATTTTCAAAAATGTCTTTGCCCTTGCCTCTTTAACAAACTATACAACCCCTTTAGTAATGTGATTCACAAAACGTCTGCATTTGCTTTTCAAGTCATGCTCTCAATTTGTGACTAACCCCTTACCATGAACCGGCTGGCAATCCAGTGTTTGCACCTGGAATTCGCTAGATGGCAAGGACTCAAAAAATTCCCCGAGAGCACCTGGACCTGAAACAGCATTGCCATTCCACACAAGCGTGGCTTTTTCCAAGTAAAGCTTGGTGAGCATCTAGGAAAACAAGAGGCAGAAAATTAATTAGTTCATTAATGCAGACAGAGCAAATTACTTGGTAAACCCCAAATTCAAATTAGCCAGTAAGGCAAATTCCCTACATTCGTGTTCAGAAATACAACTTGATTTAGTTCTGAGCTTGAAGATGTTCATTTATTCTTTAAAAACTATTTCTGTTTTTTTGATCGAGCTACCTACTAGCAGAATATGCAGCTAACCTAAAATCTTCCTGATCACATCTTCAGCAAAGGGTATTTGTTTTAAAGAAGCATACAGTATATGGTGCCCTATGTCAGAATACCCATTACACTGTCTGTGCTCTTTAGGATCGATGAACACTTATAGCTCCTTAAGGAAAGGTTACAAACACGGTTCTTTTTTGTACATAACAAAAGGTTCCTATGTGTTCCAGAATGTCACATATGAACAACTCTGAACAAGTTAAAGTGCTATGAAACAGGTTTTTCTGCTTTTGACCTTAAGAACAGGTCAAAGGGTACAGGGAATGCCATTATGGATAAACTGCATGTGGTTTTCTATATGTGGTCCACAATACGGGTGGAGTTAAATGAAGATTTTGGTACCTTTGGTAAATTCATGGGCAAGTTCTTTTTTTTAAATCAAGGAATACAAGGGATCCTATTTTTGTTCCACAGCAGAGATGAATGTATTGATGCATTATAACATTATTAGCTAATTTTTCACATGAACAGATGAGAAATTAAAGGTCTTAATATGGCTTCCAAACTAACTCGCCAATCAGCTTTATTCAGCAGTGCACTACAGTTCCCATAGATTACTATTGCTCTGTTATTATTCCCCAATGTTAAAACATTCTACTATAGACGTGTAAAAACGAAGCAATATCTCTGTGTTCATGGGGGATGTGTTCCTAAATTGTCCACAGATAAATAATAAAGCTGTAGAACGTTCTCCTATACCATATATAAAACATGGGCATAGCTAATACACTGTGTACATCAAAAGAAATATGCCACAAAAAGAGCATGACAGAATATATTATCTAATATAAAAAGGAATATTATAAAAAAAGAAAATCAAATATTTTTACAGCTATTGAGTGTAGAAATCATTAGAAATATGTGATCAGACTGCAGTACCGTACATTAATGTGCAACAATGTGTTGAAGGTATCAGGTGCATCTGACAGTGATGATGGTGAATTTGATCATGAAATGATTGTATGTAACTGTATCACTACTACGGTATTTACAGTTATTGAGTGTAGTAATCTTCAGGAAGATGTGACGAGACTACAGTGTTGCATGTGGTTATTTTTTTAACTTAAAACCTCAGGGATGTTCGTAGAAGCTTTGGGGCAATGAGAACTACGACTCTATAGAACAAATAAATACAGTCTAAACAGATGATCACTTGAGCAAATTAAATAAACGAAGCTACGCAATTATACATCAATGTCAGTAATTCACTCACCCTTCTTCTTTTGTCCATTGTATCGTAGTAGATATTTACGAATTCTTCTGAGTATCGGCAAGCCTGATCCACATGAGTTCTGAAATCCTGGAATTAAGTCACAACAATCCTTTCGTAAAAACCTTGGAATGGTCTGGGTGGCAACAGTTAAATGGACAACAGTTATTTGAAATTAAGTTATTTTTACTTTCACGGTCAGTTAAAGACAATAAACAAAATTATATAAAAAAAACATCAATATGCATATTAAAATCTTAATCGAAAAAAACTATTTTTTTTACAACAAACAATTCTATATGGCAATATTTGGATTTTATTACACATAGTTTAATATACGCAAATGAACAGTAGTTTTCGAAATGTATCGTAATTAATTTCCAAGCTCCATAACCAGATTTTAAAATGAAAAGTAGTAATCGACTTACGATCGTTGAAGCCATTTTTCATTAAAAAGAAATGCAAATTATAGTGGAAAAAAGTGAGGACCGTCAAAAGTACTTCAGGTTATAAACGACGTTTAAAATGTGTTTAACTCTACTAATGAATTAAAGAGTATAAATTAAAAATGTTTAAAGCCACAGTAGAGATTTCACCTCCATGTTCAAGTCCGACAATAGTAACAACCCCCAGGGAAACAACAGTCGGTAAAAAAAAGGTTCCATGCCTTTTGGAATTTCGATTGGCTAAAAATTATGTTGTTGCTATATGAATGTGGTGGTGGGAAGGTGAAAATGTATTTGATTGGCTGCTACTGGTGTATTTTTAACTGACGTCAGTCAGAGTAATAGTAATTCCTGGCCCAAAGCGATTTCAGGTTTTGGGTGCCGTGAATCAGCAGTAATGGAAGGTTTTGTGTCCAATGTGGAAGTCTGCAATCTTGCTTACACTGGGAAGTTCGACCAGCTGAAACAATGCATTTTATCCGAAAAATCATTGGCTTCCAAAACAGACCAGGTAAGAAAGGTTCAGAGATTATTGATCTTCCTGGTCTATAGTAAACGAGTAAACTATTAAACTAGAACTGCATGTAGATATAGTTTGTCAATAAAGCATCAATTTGACTAAAAACCATTATGTTTCTTGTCGTCCAGGATCACAGAACAGCTTTGCACTGGGCTTGCTCAGCCGGTCACACAGACATCGTGGAATTCTTGTTGGATCTTGGAGTGGAGGTTAATTTAAAAGATGATGTGAGTGACATTTATATTGCTGAGGTGCGCTCTGTTTTTTAGGTTAATATATATATATACAAATTACTAACAAATAAGATATATTAACAAATATATATTATAGATATTAATTATTCAGCAGACAAGTACTGTTAAACAATTTGTAATGATTTTTGGAAGACAGTTTATTCCAGTGAGTTCTGATCCTTAAAATAACCGCAATCTGTTAACTGTATATTTTTAAGATAATTTACACCACTAAAATTCACTCCTTGTCCCTTCTCTTATGTTTTCCATTCCAGTTTGGACTCTTAATGGCTTTATTTGAAACGGTTTTAGTTGCTAACTTACGTGGTCACTATAAGCACAATTTCCAGGTCTTAACTATTTCCAGGTTACTAAGCATTATAAATGATCCATAAGGTCTTGTGGACTGCCACCTTCAAGGACCAGGAATGAATATCACTGACGTGCATCATTCCAAAGAATTGTGATAAAATTATGATAATAAAAGTGCTTCAGGCACATCATAATAATGTGTCTCATGCACACACAAATAAAAGGTAATGTTACTGATTAAATAATAATAAAAGATAAAGAATAATAAATTAAAAATAATAAAAGACTCTGGTACAGTTAGCTGTTTTATCAGGTCTTCCTCATTTACTCCCTGAGAGAAAATGTCATTCCATGACAGTTATATTTAACTGCATTTTTGCATCAAAATTCCACCCAATTGTCAAATTTCAGAGCTCCTACTGCTCTTTTTAATAGCATTATAAGGGCCTTTTAACCATGGGTGCCTGCCCCTAAAACAACATACTGAAAATAATTGGTTCCTTTGTGTGCATCTGAAATGAAATGTTTGGATGTGATAAAATCACATTTTTCTTTGCTTCATCAACTATTGTCCTTGTCTGTGGCACCAGCGTGAAGAATCAGTTACGCTTCCACTCATAGCTGGAAGACTGTAGGGTCATTTGTCACTACTGTTGGGATCTTAAGCAAGGTATGTCAGTCAGAGTGCTCCAGTATAATATCCAGGTGCATATAAGGTGTACACGCTTAAGTGGTTTTAGATGAAAGTGTCAGTAAAATTTAATATTAATAATATTTTGCTGCTGTGCTGTGTTTTCAGGCATCCTGGACTCCACTACACATTGCAGCCTCAGCAGGAAGAGACGAGATTGTGAAAGCTCTGATAACTAAAGGAGCACAGTTGAACTCTGTTAATCAGAATGGCTGCACCCCTCTGCACTATGCAGCTTCCAAAAACAGATATGAGGTATTATTGTATATATTGATATATGTATATAATATTGGTTATTACTTGTTCCTTTGCAGCCTACGCATGCTGACGCAGCTTCCCACCTGAACTAATATTGGTTATATTCATACAAACATTTTATTGCCAGATACATTTTTAAAGTAAAACTAAAACCGAATACACACTACTTCCAGCATTTCTTCTGTTCGATTTAGTGTTTTCTTACAAATCTGATAATCTACACCAGTAGCTTCTTTGCAAGACATATTCTGATCCAATTGCAATAATTAATGCAACATTCTCAACTTTTCTGCCACTAGTTTGTTTTCAACGATATAGCATGGATACATGCCATTACAACTTAACAACTTAGCTGCAACTATACAAAATATTTACCATTTAATGAATGAATTTATTCATTAATTCCTTTCCATTATTGTCATACAGTTTATTAATGCAATAGTAGCGCTGTGCACCAGCAGCAGGTATAATGGTTCCACAGTGTGTTATATCCATAACATATTTTAATGTTAATAAGACAGGCTGCTTACGTTGTAGATCTCTTTGCTCTTGTGGTTTGACTGGATCATTAAGGTAATTGTGTATTGAGGATCGGATGTTAGCCATTTTGTTAATCACGTGTGCGCTGGTCCTGCGATTGGCAAATGTATAATTTTTTTCATGTTTCCTGTGACAGTATTTCATTGCAGCCACTAAATGTTAGTATAATTATCAGATTGCTAATTAGGGTAGTGTTACTTTCCTAATACCAGAATTTAAGACAAATACTTTTTTCGACTCGGGTCCAAAGAACACAAATTTCTAAGAAAAAGCAGAGAGAACAACTCACCCTGTGTTGCTGTGATGTTGACATTGGCATCCCAGGGAAAGAGCGCTCTTTACCAATGCGTTTGTCCGTGAAGCACAGACTGACCACTCAAAAGTCCAGTTTCATTGTCTTTGTCATTTTTGTTTTCCAAATTATCTAATGCAGCAAAGTGATAGAACTATCCCTGCCAAACTTTGCAAAGTCTATCACTGTCAAGGTATATCATGCCAGTCCTGTAGAAGTGTAAACTTTGGTGTGAAAGATGATGCAGAAATGTACATTGTTTCCACCATTGCTAACAATCTGATATGAAGCAAAACAAAGACAAAAGTGCTTTGTGAGAAGATTGGAGCACCATATTCTCTCCAAAAACAGTTGGATTGCATCAAAGCCATTGGCCTGTTTTTCTTGTTCTTTGCTGACTGATGTCTTTAAAAAAGGAGCAACAAAGTGTTTCTCCATAAATTTGAGATATGAGGCCAGCATGTGTTTTTGGAATTTTACAGCGACCGTCAGGAGACCTCTGATGAAATTGCAAAGAAGTTATGATACAAACATGGAACTTCAAGAGGGGAGCTGAATCAACTTTCAGCATATATTGCAAATTGTGCTGAAGAATTGGAATCCACATCAGTCAGCGTCATTTTAGAGTATGAGCTTATCTCTACAGGAAGCTTGAAAGAAGAGTTTGGGATGTAAATTATGCAGGAAAAGAAGTTATGGAAAAGTTCTGAATACTTTTGCATTTCACTGTAGATGATTTATGTTTTTATTCTCCACCTAATGCATGTAGGAGATTACTAATAAACAAGAAGTGTAGAAAATGGAAAAGGACACAGGGCCACATGGCGAGCTGCAGGTGTCCTGTGCAAGCTGTCAGTGCTTATTGCAGCATTGTGTATAATGAGAGAGTCGAGGAAGAGCAAACAGGCATCAGATGTGATGCCTCAAAAATGCAGGTGGAAGTTAATTGTGTACATGCATTTAAAATAAACCTGCATGTCATTTGAGCTACAAGAACTCAACACTTCCTTGTTGTATACAAATCCAGTTTGCTCTTCAGTTAAGACCCTTGCTGGACTTCATTTTTTCCCCCAGATTGCTCTAATGCTGTTAGAAAATGGAGCAGATCCAAATGCCACCGATAAACTGGAATCTACTCCATTGCACCGAGCTTCGGCAAAAGGAAACTTCCAACTGATTCAGCTTCTCCTAAAACAAAGTGCATCTACTAATATCCAAGACTCTGAGGGAAATACGCCACTGTAAGTACTATTGATATGGCACGCACAAAAGGGAACATGCCAGACACTATGGTGAAGTCTTCAAACTTTAGTTTATACAGAGATAGATACCACTTTAATCCACTTGTGTGTAAATGTGAGATAGGTTACATAAGCAGATTGTTCAGAGTAATGCTCCTCTATCAATTTTCTGTAGAAGTACTTTTAATTCTCAGCATTTGTGAGAAAAAAAGGCTTGCTTTTTAGTAACAATTTAATTATTTCTACGTTAACTCCATAACCAAGGCTTGGGGAGACTGCATGGTTATAGAGACCGCTTTTACTTTTCAGCTTCAGTTTTCCCTTTTTAATCCCAGTACAGGACATAATGCAGAACATTTTGCTGAGATCTAAACATTTTCTGCAATAATAAAGCTGCATTAAAAGACAGTAGACATGACTACACAGGGTCTCGTAACTGTGACTCTACAACATGTAAAGATCAGTTTCAGAAATCGAAGGTTTTTTTTTCAGTCACCTGGCTTGTGATGAGGAACGCGTGGAGGTAGCCAAGATGCTGGTGGAACATGGAGCCAGCATTTATATCGAAAACAAAGAGAAGAAGACCCCGCTTCAGCTTGCCAAAGGAGGCCTGGGATTACTGCTGAGACGGATGGTGGAGGGATGATTAGGACTGCTCCTTTAGCAGCACATGCAATCCTTTACCACATAAAAAAAGACTATACATGGACTGCCCTGTTGCATCACCATTCATTTCCCAATGTGTTTAAAGACATTTGAAAGTGCATTTGGAGTTTGACGAACTATTAAACCAATTCTCAGTTGCATCGTGTTTCATCTTCATAATTGGCTTTCTTGTGTCTCAATGGCTTGAGGAATGCATTTCTGTAATGATCAGAAGGATATTGACAGATGGGGATATTTCATGTTCAAGAAAGTTTTGAATTTCTGTTTTATTATTATTAAATGTCACAAAAGTGAAGCTCAGAAATGTTTTTTTTTTTACTTAATACTGCAGTGTATGTAAATGATTGCACATTGTAGTATTTTAACTGCCTAGCATTTATTTAGAACATTCCATTGAAATATGCCTGACGTGTTTACTTTTTAAACAGATATTAACAGTTATTTTAGAAGATTTAGAACATTTAAAAAATGTGTCATCACATATTCTTCAAGAATGTTGAATAACACCAGGTTCAAGTTAGGTAATATGTGCTAACTGTCATTTAATACATCTGTTCTGGATTGGAGGAATAAAATTTTGTTTGGGAAACTGATGTTTTAATTAAACTATTATTTCATGAGTACTTTTTTACCCATCCTGGGGAAAAAAATAAGTGTAGATTGGTTCATCGAGTCATATATCTACATCTCTCTTTTTTTGTAAACAGAAACAATTTCAAAGCTCTAGAAGTCTATCCCCAATGATTTCAAAGAGGCCCCTACCTCAGATACGTTTAAATTCGGGCTCAAAACCTTTCTTTTCAGAAAGGTTTCTTTTTAGATGATGTCTGTGTCTGCTCCATTTTCTAATGACCATTGCATGTCTGACAAAGAAACCTAAGTGACTCAATTTCATTCATTTAAAATGCAACAAGACTGCTGTCATGCTTCTCAGCAACCCCCCTCAGCTATTAAAGCCAATGCAGTAACCCTATCTGTGGATGGCAATGGGATTTGAGTCTCAATCTAAATTGAAGAACCTTGGGGCTGTACAGTATTTGATCTGGGCTTAACGTTTGACCCATGTGTGCAAAATGTTGTTAAAACATCATTCTTCCATCTCAGAAACCTCGAGAGTATGCCCTGTGTTGTGTCTGACTGTCGCTGAAAAGCTGGTTAACACATCTGTCTTCTCTGGAACCGATTACTGCATCGTCCTGCTCTCTGGGCTATCTTGTTCAGAGTGGATAACAAAATTCAGTATGTCCCAAATTTGGCAACCAGAATCCTGACCAGGTGGCCTGCAAGTGTTCACATTACTCCTGCTTAAGAGTCTTTGCACTGGCCTATAAGACTCCACTGCTTGGCACCTCAGTACCTGTCTGACTTATTATCTTCCTACTCCCCACCGCATAGCCTTCTGACTATGCTGTCTTGTCTGTTTCCCAGGCTAGACTACTTACAAGACTATGGGTGATGGGGCCTTCTCTTGCTATGCCTCAAAAGCCTGGATTTCCATTTCCCAGGATATTAAAGAGTCACTTAGTCAGAATGCTTCCAAATCCAGACTCAAAACCTTCTTTTAATTGATGCCTGTGTCTGCAACTTCTGATGCAATCTAAACAATTCTATGTGCTTTTTATCACTTATCTTTGTTTCAATTTTTGTTTTAACTGTTTTTTTTACTTTTTTGTAAAGTGCTTTGAGAAGATACTTTCAAATAATTTATTAAATGGATCAAATAAAGTTTACAAGAGCCAGCAGAACCGATAACATTTTTTTATGGTTTATCTAACTTATTATTTTGATACAAACTGTTACTGCTAAATTATACAATTCATACATTTATTCGTTATCTTGGGTAGTGCATTAACGGCTGTGTCAAATATTTTGAAGTGATTATGAGCTGCGATGCGTCGGTTTGTACGATAGATGGCGACGAAGTGAATGCTGCATTCATTGTACTGTATTCAATTCCTTGAGGAGCAAGCCTTTGTAAGGAGATACAGAATTACACTGCGAGCCCGTATTGGCAGGACGATTAAACGTGACTATCTTAACCAAGAAAATAAATAATTCCCACATATTCGACGTTTATACTATTTCACCTAAAGTAACAGAAATAAAATTTTAAATACTTCACATTGAAATGAGTTTGTATACAAACCAAATATAGTATACTATTATTATTAATAATAGTGGTCGTGTTAATGTTAATATAACTACAATCGAATGTGACTTCATAGAAAGAATGAGAGGCAGTCTGTCGCAGTTCCCGGGTAGCTCGCCGTGATCGTATAGTGGTTAGTACTCTGCGTTGTGGCCGCAGCAACCTCGGTTCGAATCCGAGTCACGGCATCGGTTTGACACCGATATCACGGCAAAGGGAGCTAATACTTTTATTTTTCGATTTTGGATATTTTAATTTTGTTTTGCACGTCTTTCACGTTCGTGTAATGTATATAATTGGCTGTTTTTGCCGCTAAGAAAACAGTAACATTGGCATTGAGGAACATTGCCAATGTTTCATTCATTGTCTTGTTCAGATGAGGGAATGCCCTATGTAAAGAATTGTCTAATAAGCTGATTGTCATTTTGTTTTACTACGTTTTATACTGAACAGTAGACATTACTGTACTCAATTTTGTACCTGAAAGCAGTCATGCAGTGAGGGAATGGACCATTAATTTGCAAATTTCATTGAAGCTGTTTTCATTTTTTTTATCACCTTGTTAGCTACAAATTTGAGAACTGAAAGTGAAACCATTTTACAGTGGTCCGTGAGCAGCGCTAAGTGGTGGAAGTCTTTCCTAATTCCTTTGTTAGTTGTATTATCAATTATGACCACACGATGGCAAAATAATAAAAGAAACGTTTATTCAGTGCAGAACACTTAACCGTATGAGGTCGTGTATAAACTGGTTATGTAATTAAACCATAAAGAGCCAAGATTAGGGCAGCACAGTAGTGCAGTGCTTAGCATTACTGCATCAGAGAGTTGGGACTCCTAATTTCAAATCGGGACCTAGGTTGCTATCTGTGTGGAGTATGTTCTCCTTGTGTTCATGTGGATTACCTCCCACAGTCCAAAAAACATACTGGTGGTTCAAACAGCTTCTGGGAAAGTTGGTCCTGGTGTGTGTTTGTATTTGTGTGCCTTGTAATGGACTGGTGTCCCATTTAGGGTGTATCTCTGGGTACAGTATATCTTGCAGATCTTCCAAAGCCGTATAGGATATAAATACCAGAGGAATCTGCTTGGGGTTTGGAATAAGAATTGTGAGTTTTGAGTGAATAGAGCTGTCATAGACACCAGCACTGGGGTGATTATTTATGTTGGCAAAGGGTTGGTTACACTTATTATTAAAGACCTTATTTTTAATATGCTTATTTAGCTGTGTGCAGGATTAATTCAGGAGTCACTCAAACTTCATTTCAGTCAACAATTTTCAGTTTTCCTGTCTCCCAGTTTAAACATGTTTCATGTGGTGCTTCAGAAGAAATTTCTTAACAATTTCAGTCCTTACCTGTGAGTTTTTTTTAGAAGCATGGCTGTCATATTTGTTTTTTTTTTCATGTCGAGACTTGTTGTCGTTTTCAGGCTGTAATTCTGACTCTTTTAAATGTTCAATAGAGAGGTGGAGTAAAAAAGGCTACACAAAGTTCAGCTGGGTGAAACAGAAAGTGCTGCAGTGTCTTTTCCAGCTCCTGCAGTGTCCTGACATTAATAACATTAAACATGTCAGGGAGCGTATGGATTGAGAACTGAGGGAAAGTTAATCTCTGCCAGAAATAATACACAAGAGCCAAAGCAAAATCATCTTTGAATTTGATACAGAACCCATACTCAGTTTCTTGATGAGTGGAAACATTCTGCACTGAGAAAACACATGCTACCAGATATATAGTATATTTAATAAAAAAAAAGAGTTACTTAAGAGTTAGCTGCTCCATAATTGTTTTTTTAAGATAAATTGAGATAATGGGAGTGAATGTATCAAAAATAGCATTGCATAGTCATAATCAGAAATATGTCGTGGTAAATAACACGTTATTTTATGTATATAATGCATTTTGAATATGATGTACAGTATGAACAGTACAATAAGGTATATAAATTATGGCCTTATTCTTTAAAACAAAAATATTTCAGTATGTACATTATTATATCAAGATGTAGTTAAGGAAAACAATTTGTAAACAGTATCCTTTTAACAATTTAGTAATGTATATTTGGATTAATTCAGAATAATTAGCTGCATGAATTAATACGTGTTACCTCCTGCAGTAAAAAATACTTTAAAAATTTTTTTTTTGTTTCTAAATAAATGCATTTATCAAAATAGAAATGCTAGCAATTCTATATGAAGTTGACCTTCAGGAACTGATAGGCATTTCATATTTCATTTATTGTACATGTCAACTCACACTTTTGTATAATAAAACAAATAGCCTGGGGTGTAAATTTGCTACCTGACTGTTTTGGAAACTTGAGATAGCCAGATGTCTCGCTTTAAGTCCTATATCATTATTTTCTTAAATTAAAATATGTCTGTGAAAAAGAATATTCAATTGCATTCAGGAATATGTTGACATTTAGGAAACCTTTTCTCTATAGTAAATATATAGCCCACTAACATTTCAATATTGGAAACATGTAAATGGTAGAGGACAAAATAATACCTGAACTTGTGCTCATATGCAATTTAAAACAAGTTTTCTTATTTGTTTTTTTCATGTCACCAACAATTGATAAAAGAAACTTAGTATCATTTTCTACTGAGTAGTTGTCTGTATGATATTGAATACTTCTCAAATGTATACATACTACATATTTGTAATACACACTTCTTATAAATATGCGGAGTCCCCATTCCCTGTAAAGAGCTTTGAGTGGAGTGTCCAGAAAAAGCGCTATATAAGTGTAAGCAATTATTATTATTATTATTATTATTATCCAATTCATAATCACCTTATCCAATTCTGGGTTGTGTAGGAGCTGGAGCCTATCATGGCAAGCAGTGGGCACAAGGCAGGGTACACCCTGGACAGGACGCCTGTCCATCACAGAGCAGACAGACACCGATACAAACACGCACACACTCACACCGGGGCCATTTTTTTTCCAGATGCCAGTTAATCTAGTAGTATGTCTTTGGACTGTAGGAGGAAACCCAGAACATCTGGAGGTAACTCATGCAAACCAAGGGAGAACATAAGAGTTACACACAGATAGCACCCCAGGTATTGAACCCAGCATCCCAGTGCTGCGAGGTAGCCATGCTAAACAGTGTGCCACCGTGTTTGTGGATATAACATGCGTTTTGCATGTGCATGAGTTTTCTTGTTTTTTTCACAATATTTAAAAGTAAAAAAAAAAATCTAATTCAGCAGATAAGACTAGACATCTAATTCTGTATATAAAGTCACCCCTAATAACAACTGTTTGGCTGCCAAATATGGTTTTATATTGCAAAAACCAGTATAAAAGAACAAGAGATGATTAAAGTTTATTCTAATTATTCATGTTTACTGAATTCTCCTAAAGCAGACCATACCTTAAAGAGGTTCCTTGTGAGAATAACAGATTCAATTTAATTTGTTCCTTTAATGCATAATGTCTCCAA